AGAAAAACTGGTACGACATGCAAATGAGCTGCTGACTCTCAAGAAACAATTAACTGTGACACAACAAGTGCTTGAAGTTAAATTAGTCTCATAAAAATGTTTTTTCCACACTGATTGTTTAATTGACTTTTAATTCAATGTTCTGCTGTTGTTGGGAAAAGATGTGAAATGCATTCAAATCAAAGGGACTAATATTATTTCTGATTTAAAAACTGAGCAAATCAACTTTAGTTGCGGCCTAGAGTACAGTTTATCAAAAGCTTAACTCCATAAACCTGCATCATTCAAATGTCGCAGTCCCCTGATTCAGTATTTCTGCAGAGACATTAGCCCACTTACATGCAAATTAGCAAACTCCATCATCTGGCAATCATGGCTGGTGACTGGAAAATGAGCACTGCCAGCCACTCCTTTTATCGGAAAAAAGCACGCAGCACAGGCGGTACAGCGAGGGACCTCATCTCAATGAAATACCAGAAGGTCACAGAGCAACAATCCACCTTCATGTGTCCATGAGTGTATGCTGTTTTGAGTGCTATGTAATTTTGATGATGCATATTTGTGTCTGAGGGCATCTCTATATTGATGTTTCTGGATGTAAAGCATTGGGTGTGAGTTTTTGTACTGTAAACACAGGTCAAAGCAGGAGCTACAGACAAGGCCACTGAAAGAATTATTTTCACTTTACACATCACACTGAGCATTTGTTGGAGCACATAAGATCGCACACATGTAAAGATTTGTTTCTAAAGGCAAGACGTTTTGGAATTTCAGTCATGCAAACATATTTCCAGGCAAACTAAAAGGAAAAACATGTAAGAATTCCTCACAAATATCTTCTGAAGTGACGGCATGAGTGATGACGGCCTATCATCAATCTCACACACTTCTTGAACTGTCTACATTCCTATGCATACATTGATATCAGATTCCAACAGTGCTGAGAGAGACTCAAGTGTGTGTGTGTGTGTGTGTGTGTGATCACTGTTTTGGAGTTACTCAACTTTAGAGTTACAATCATTTAAGTGGATTTAATACATTTTTATACCAAGATATCAAATTACAATAACCATAAAACTAAATGGGTTGCACATAATGAACCTGCACCTGAATCCGTCGCTCCCCTTGACTTTATGGAGATTTGTGAATTTTTAGCTTTGCAGATTTGAGCTGCTCTCACTGTGTCAGCACCGGTGAAGCTGTTTCCAACCCTGCTGGGCACGCAGCAGCACACAGACACAGTTAACAAGGAGTTTTTATCAGCTACAGCTAAAAATAAAGCTATAAGAGAAGAACGATTTAACTTTCTTGCTATGGTTCCGTGTGAATTATAAGAATACAAATATTATTGTGTTAACAACCCGTTCCCAAAGCCCCCAAGAGATTTTGAATTCAAATAACCCTGTTTTTGATAGTATTTATGGCTGACGTCCTGTAATTACTTTTCATTATGTAGTAGTTGTAACTGTTTGTAGCAAAGGTCACCACTCCCATGTTGATTCATTCATTTTAGTCATTATTTAAGCAAAAGGGTCAAATATTTGCTGGTTACAGCTTCTTAAACATGAGTGTTTTTCTTTGCCATCCGTGATTGTAAAGGGAAAATCTTGGACTTTTAAACAGTTGGTTTGACATAACAAGATGAGAGGTCATAATCATATAATGTTGGAAATCAAACAAGGCGTTTATACCTATTTTGTATTTTTGTGACAAATTTACTAACCCAATAATTTATTTTGCCAATTTTATAATGAAAATAATTATTAGTTGAAGCCCTACTCCAGCATTACGCTTTATTCTTTGCTGTAAGACACATCAGTCTCTCCTCTGTGGTATTTCTGACAAAGTTGCTGCCCAAAGACCGACCGCTCCCACATGAGGACCTGCAGTTTTAAACCACACTTGCAGTGATAGCGGTAACCATGAATTTTCCGAGAACATCCATCCATCTTGTGTTTTCAGCTTCTCTCACTGTCTGTATATTCTGGCCTCCCTCCTTATCTTCACACACAATCTTACCCTATTGGGTTTTGTATCAGTGGGCCTGTTGTGGATTATGTTGTGCTGTGGATTATGGGATTAACGTTTACACCCACACGATCAGACACTGACCACAACGAGGAGCACACTGTTGCTCAGCAGCACCATGTGTGTGACAGGGTTGTAGAGTATCATAAACCAGCTGATGGTGCTGCAAAGCAACGGTTGACATTCTGAAGTTAAGGTCAGCTAGCCTGCCACTGTTGACAGATATTAGAACTGACAGCTAAAAAATCTCACCTGTAGAATAGATAAACTGTGTTGACCACATCTCTCTGACTGTTTTCTCACCCAGACTTGTTAAAGGTTCAGTGTGTAGAATTTAGTGATATTGCATGTGGCAGCTGAACACCCATCATCTCGACCTCCTCTTCTAAACATTAAAGAGAACATGTGGTGAACTTCAGTTGTCATGAAAACTCAAAAGGTTTTAGTTTGTCCAGTTTGGACGACAGTAAAAAACATGGCGGCCTCCGCAGAGAGGACCCCCCCCCCCCATGTAAATATAAAGAATTTAAATATAAAGGGTCCATTCTATGGTGAAGAAAACAACAATTCATAAAATTAAGATGAAACGCATCAGTGAAAACATCACTAGGATTATTTTATATTCAATTTCTGCCAAAGATTCCTTTCACCTAAATCTTACACACTGGACCTTTAAGTCTTTTGTTCATTAACATTAGAGCAAGTCATCCTCCACGCCTCTCTCACATATGAGACGTGAGGAGATATCGCTGCCTCTAGAACAGTGATCCAAACTATTTTTTGATCTTGTAGTTGCAAGAAGAAGAGGAGAATATCTGTGAAGATTGTCCATATGTTCGTGATACAACACAAATATCTCTCAGATTTTTTAAATTCTTGTAATCTGAGCCCAACTCTATAGGTCTAGTGTGAATGCTGGCCATTTACAAACTATATGACTTTGTTTATGTTTGTTTATACAGCAAGCATCATATAAAAACCCTCCTCATGTACCACATCCCTGATGTCAGCACTGACCTGGATGCATTGTGCTCATTTTTACCTCTCATGGGTTTTTTTTTTCAAATATGAACGTATAGTTGTGGAAAAACACTTAAGCTTCTCGATGATGAGAAGTGTGAGGTAAACATCCCTCTGCTCCGTCTCTGACTCCCACACACGCACTGTCACTCTTTGTCTCTCTCAGAGGGCTCAGTGATCCACAAAACATTGTGACAGTCTGGTTCAACTCGAGCAGACAGCTCCCTCACACTCACACACACACACATACGAGCACACACGTGCACGCAGGCACACGCACACAAAAGCAATTACTGTTACTGTCTTACAATGGGACTTGGGGAGTCCCTGTCAATCCATTATATACTGCATACTGTAAATGTGCTTATGAGTACCATGTATTTTTAATCCTTTTAACTCCATTGTAACAATGTCATTACTTGTTTACGTATATCTATTCACATTAGTTATCCTGCACTTGAATACATTTTCATGAATACAATTTTACTTTTGCTTAAACTAAATAAAATAAAATGAATACATTTCACAACTAGTATAAAAAATGGCTTGTCTGTCTGTTTCTATGGTTGTAATCTTTATGATTCTGGTTTGAATACAACCACAGACTATGCTAGTTAGTAGTTCAAAGCAGGAAATCTCAAGTTGGAAGGTTCTTTTTGGCCTACACACAGTCACTGAATTCATGTCATTACATTCATTTTTAAATAGATGGCATGGTTTCTATTTAATAACTGCTAATCAATTTTGGCTCAGGAAGCTCCATAACTGTTGCTTCTCTAATCTGTGCGTGGGATGTTGTTTTTGTGGTGGCAAATCTGAATCAGATCACAGAAAGTGAAATATGATTACGACGATTTGTTTTATCTGTAGACGTACAAAATGGATGCATTCATGAAATAATCCTCCAAACATTTGTATTTCTTTCAGAAATCTAATTCCCTGTTAGCTTTGAGCATGTTGCTATGAGGCCCCAACATTAGCAAGACACTGAGAGCACAAATTTATTGCTGCACCTCTAGTCTGACTATATTCAACAGTGCCAACTATGGTCCACATGGGGACATGCCAAACAGAGAGATGCAGAAAACTGCTCAACAACGAGGCAGTGCAAAAGACACAATACAGAAACCTGCTGATCTAATTATGCAACATTACTGATCTAATATATGACACATTTCAAACCACAGTAAACTGAGCCCTTGCTCTATTCATTTAAAAACTGCAACTCAAGACCAACACATCAAGTATGTCTGTTCTTCTGCCGACACAGTCAGAATAAATCTACTACATCAAACAGACATAATAAACCTTTTCCTCCACGCTAACAACCTCATGCCAGGGAATGTATTCTGTACATTCATGCATATGTTCCCCTTAAATCAATGGTTAAACATTTTAACCCATTACTGTGACCTCTCATCTATCAGCAGTGTATTTATTCAGAAGCCATTCATGCAGCCTTTCTACCAGTGCCAGTTTTTCAGAGAGCTGGCACTGTGGTTAAGACTAAAATGGAAATGAGCTCTCAAGAGTTCATTGAGTATTTGATGAGGCTTCTCTTTTAGTTCCTGCAGAGCACATGTAGTTAGATGGTGTTAAATTAACCTGCTCAAAAATATGACCTCCCAGTTACAAAACCTGCACTCCGATCTCTTTTAGCTGGTATAAAATACACCATTTATACCGATATACACGAAAGGAACAACCCAGCGAATGTAACTTGTAAGTCCACATCCTACAACACAACAAAGACACAAAGTAATGGAATGAATACATGACTCTGCCACAACTTCATTGTTAAAGTTTAAAAATAAAACAAGCAAATCCTTATTTCAATGTTTTTCCCTAAAAGTAAGGCTGCTGCCCATTTTGCCCCAATACCAGTGTAAAAGTCATTATCCTGTGGGCAGACAGCTCCCTCTAGTGGCTCGATATTGTGTGTGTGCACTAACCAAGTAGTAGTGATGTCTCTGTGTGGTAATATCCGTCTTGCTGCTTCCTCTTCAACATGGAGCAAAGGTCGACCTGTTCCACTGTCTGATCTCCAAAAAACCTGAGTGAGGATGAGAAAGTATAAGACAGAAAACAGATGGTTGATGAGTGGAATAATATGTATTTAATTATAAAACTATAAGGTCATGAGCAATTTTAAAACACAGGTGAAGCACAATATTACTAAGAATTAGTTTTTCGCAATAAAAGTATTATATCATTATTATGCATGCATATCTGCTATAACGTTGTGCTTACATCTTTATACAGCCTGGAGTGTGGACATGCATTACAGCATGTGTAACTGCACTTATTGTACAGTACTGACACTGAAAATGTTGTCAGTGTCAGTCAGTTTCTGAAATGCTTTGCAAATAGTTTGAAAAACCAAGGACCTACTTGTTATTGTAGTTGGAGTAAAGGGCTGGGTCCACACGCTTTATACCCTAAGAGACACAGGGAAGATGCTGTTTATGACACACACACACACACACTTACACACACACAGACTGGCGGACAAGAATGCCGCCATGCAGGCACCAGACAGGATGTCGTCAGGTGTTGAAAAAAATGATGCTCTCCTTCCTCTGACTGTCCCCTCCTGACCATTACTCTTCTCTCCTTATCTTTCTGTCCTCTCCACCCTTCCTTTCCTCTTTTTCATATATTCCAGATTATTACTTATTAGCTTGCTCCATTCTTTATTCGAATCCATCCCAATATACTGTAACACTTCTTTAATTACATTCACTAATTTTTCTTTTAAAATACCACAGCAGGTGATTTATTCCCACTAGTCCTTCTGGCTAGAGCAGTAATGTGGTTTTTAACAGCCACTGAGAGCTGAGGGAAATAAAAATGATGGCTGGGGAGAGAGGAGCAACGCTGCAGCTGTCTGGCATTTCTCTCAAGTCAGTTTGTAAAAAGATACATTATGTATACGTTTCAGCAAAGAATAGAAATGTAATAGGTTACCTTTTTTTGAGAAAATGAAACTACTGCATCTTTGTTTGTTAAAAGCAAAATGTGTATTAACTACTTAAGCAAATGGTGAACATTATGTATATACTGTATGATCCACGTGATGCATTGGTGACTGTAATTGGTAATCGTTCAAAAATATCAATGAGCCATGTCCTCATACATGTGTCTGTACAATGTAGAAGCCTCATGTTAGTGTATATTCCTGACATCAGTGTGGATTCACATACTGCATTTCTCCGGAGCTCTGCACAACATTAGCATTCAGCAGTCTTAGTAGAAATGAAATAAATAAATGGATTAAGATATTTTATAAAATTAGAGCCCAACTAATATATATTATTTGGGGACTAAAGCAGAATGATACTATATCTTGGCCCATACATACATCAAAAAATTGGAATCTAGGATGTCGTTATCAGCATAAACTTAATGATAAATAACTATAAATAGAAAGAAAACACAAACACAACCAGATATATGGAACTTGAATTAAGAAACTTTTCTTTTCTGCATTGTTAATTCTGTAAAATAAATATTTTCATATCACCAAACATAAATGTATAAATGTGTCATATTGGCTGATATTATCAGCCATCTGATAAATACCACTACTCTCTATAAACTTTTTCATAACTTAACTCTATGGATAATGTGTGTAGTCGCACCTGTGCATACCTGGGCTCGTAGTTTTGATGCTCTGGATAGCTTCATAATGGTGAGGTGAGGTTCAAACCCACGACTGTCTCCTTGCATCAGCCCCTGCTCTTCAAAACGGCTGCGCAACAACCCTGCAACAAACACACACAATGATATGCACTAATGAAAAAAAGCCAAAGAGGAAGGCTGTAAGTTGACACAATGTAAAGTGCTATCATACATAGGAAGTGGCTACATTAGATGAATTCAAACCACAACATCAAGAGCACCCTGTAATATCCACCTCTATTTCCTCCCAATCAACCAGCTCAGAAAGTTCGACGCAGATGGCTGAGAATTTGCGTCAGAGAACAGAAAAAGGCTTTTTGCTGGAGTATCATTTGACCCTGCAGACAAAGACTGACACACAAAACGAGGACACAAATGCACAGTCGCTCCAAGGACAGACACGCATGGACGGAGACGCACACACCAAGCATTGAGGATCAGAGGGAAACAATAGAGGTATTTTTAGAAGAGGAGCTGAACAGGGAGGGAAAGGTTAGAAGATAATCAATAACAGTGACACAGAGAGCAGACGAGAGGACTCATCGTTATTTTGCTCTTACAACAACAATAAGTGGATTTTATCTTTGCTATCTTAAGATTAGGGTTGTAAATAGAATATAGAATAGCAATCAACCATCGTTGATGAAGGACCATGGTTTTTAAGACTTGATATGTTTTTCTTAAAAGCCACAATTGTCATTTATGTTAATTCATAGTAGGAGTATGTCATCCTCTAAAGAGTTTAAGAACAACATATGAAACTCAGCAGAGAGCACATACTTATGCCAAGACACAACAATCCCTTTTTGAAACAACAATTAAATTCCCCTGATTTTTATTTGGATCTGCACCACGTGTCACACAAATATCTTTTTACATTACATCAAGATCCATGAATTATTCTCTGATAAATTCAAGGACAATGTTGAAAAATCTGTAAATAAAATAGAAAATAAAGTCCTGGATCTGCTTCCTGATCTAGATCCACACCAAAATTTATCGGACTTTTCCCTGATCTGACATCCTTACAAACAAACAAACAAACAAACGAATGGACAGGAGGGAAAATATAACCTTCTTGGTAAAGGTAATAAATTAAAGGAAAAGTCCTCAAATCTTTTTAAGCGCTATATAAAAAGGTCAAAACTAAACATCACAGTTGGAAAATGTCTTTGATTAAATATTGTACTATGCAAGAGCAGGTAAAGAAATGTTCTTTTATACTGAAGTACACAGATGATGATGATTTGTCATGAGACATATTTAGTAGTTTGAAGTAGTAGTTTGGATAAGTAATCTTTATTTCATAGAACAAACACATATCCAGTGACCTGTTGCATGTGTTCAGCAGTTCAAAGAGGTGTTCAGAGCGGACAAAGGTGCTGCTGTGGTTTTGCCGGGTTGCCCTTTTTTTGTTTTTTTTAAACGTGTACTTCATTTGATGCACCAAAGCCACAATTTCTTCCCTAAGCATCAAGATTAAACGAGCACTGGAGCAAAAACAGTTTCTATTAATACTCTCACCGCACACTTCAGGCCCGCTGCTGAACATACTTAATCACTCCAGGGGATTTGTTATGTCTGACTGCACCAATTATGGAGGGTCTGCCTCTTATATCTGCTGAGGGGCATGGAAAGTTTGATGTTGAAATTGAAATCTAATCAGATGCTGCAAAAATCCATGTCTTTAAGTGGGAGGACATACCCACCTCCACTGCAACCCTCTCTGGCAATTTGGAATGAAAAGTTAATAACAGATTTCCATGCAGCTGATGACTTGAAGATATTTCCAAGAGAAAGACAGGATGGGATTGAAACAAAACCTTGCAACTCAGATTACAGACATCTTTGTGTAGAACCTCAGGCCTTGTACCTCAATTTCTCTGAAATATTTATTCATTGCATGTTATGTCAAACAGAAATGAAATGTATTTTGGGATTTGTCACAGCTTGTCAGTTACTAATATGCCAAATGTAGTATTTGCTTGGATCTGGACAGTTAATACAGTGGATGAGCAGCTAGGATATCCGCACTAAACCAAGCTTGCCGCTCCAAATTCTGAGAATTTAATACAATTTCAATGAACAACTTTACAACACCTTGTGGATCAAATGCATATTAATCAAGCCCCTTAATTTCTGTTGTGGTTGCCTGCATGTGTGCATATTTCCAATTCAGTTGGTATTTTAAACTTGAGATGGACATAGTAAAGATTCACTGAGTAGAATTAATAAAAACTCAAAAGGTGTTTAGTATGTTCAACTTCCGCCAATAGATCACTTTCACCTAAATCCTACACACTGAACCTTTAAGCGAATGCAAGCTCATTAACTCTGTCAATGTGTGTGCGCTTGTGTGTGCTTATATGTGTTGGTGTCACAAGAGCAAGGAGGGCGAGAATCCTCTTAGAAATGTTGGCTTAATGTTGTTGCCTGAGGGGACAACACCAAAACATGCACGCAAACGCTTCTGTATTCCCACCCAGCCAAGTATGATGTAAACAGTCAAATTTAAGAAGTGCACAAATCTCCCTCTTCCACGCACACACACACACGAAGTGAAAAGAAATTTAGGACAGTGACAGAGAGAAACAACATATATCAAACTTTAGCATAGTGTATTTGAACTGAACAACAAAATAGTGCATGTGGTTGACTTAAACACTATAGCCTACATAAATCTTTTTTAAATAAACACTTAGACTGGCAACATTATCTATAATTTCTTGTTTTAAGACTTCTACTGTTAAACCTGATCTCCAGGTTTCAGGACAAGAGTCAGGCTTGGGCCACCTATTGACTTTGAATGGGAGAGATTTCACCTCACACCTTAAAGTTGTCCAATCTTTGACCTCCTGTAGCAAAGCCCCCCACAAACAGCGAGCATCCACCCAGTTTAAGTGTCCGAAAGAACGATACTAGACACTCCAACCAGCTGACCCCAAATTCAAACTTCCCTCTGCAGGCGCTCAAACAGACAAATTCTGTACAATAACAAATGCCAGTAATACTATTTATCTTAAATCCAAAACACAGCACGATAACAACCATTCAAACAAAATCTAATGTAAAGCTTATAATTAAATATGATAGACTTACAGATGCAGTGGATGATCACAGCAGAGTTCAAATCATTTGTCACTAACCTGCCAGGCTGTCCAGTGTGTGTCTGTGTTGTCCGGGGGCCAGCCCAACAAACACCACCTCCTTCCTGAAATGACCGATGCCTGAGAAGGGCAGCACCAGATCCCGCCCACCCAGCAGCTCAGCCAATGGCAGCTTGACCTGGGCCAGCACGGTTGTCGCTCTGAAAGGAAATATACACATGAATATACAAAACACACATCTGCACACACACACACACACACCAAGTCACAACTTAATCCCCTTCCTCCCTCCCACTCATATTACATAACAAGAGAATCAAGTGATTACTAATGACACAATCTTTTGCTTGATGTAGATTAAGCATATATCTCCCAATGAAAAACACACAGCAATGGCTCCGTCATATCCAGCACTCCATTATGAAATGCTAGAGTAATAACTGCACTCACTGAAATGTGGGCTTCACTGCAGCATGTAATAGCACTCAGTGTAGGTAATGTTTATTTCAGTTGCCTTAAATCACAGAAATTGGAGGGATTTTTACACTTTGTTTGCACCAGTTTTGTGAGAGAGGTGTGGGTTAAACAAAGTCATTTTACCACAAGAAATAAAAACAATAAAGAGGATAATGACTTTTTTCTTACATACAATTTTAACATAATAATGAGAATAATGCTCCGAAATTATCTGATTGGATAATAGCAGCTTTATTTGTATAAAAGTTTTCTTGATAAATTAACAAAGTGCAACATGAATGGATAAACAATAAATCAAGACTGCATTTTGCTCTAAAGACACAGTCATGGATTTCATATAAATGTCTGTGCTGAAATGTCACTGTTGAAGTGGCAGTAAGATGTCACAAAGTTTATAATTTTCAGGCCTGTTGACCTTTTTTTCAACAAAGAAAGACATTTGGAAATGTCACACATGAAACAGCATACGTGTAATCCATAACATTGATGAGCCAGTTTCAGATTGTGGGTAATGGTTTCACATGACTTCAAAACAAAAGAAAGAAGCCATCATTAGTGTTACACATTCATTCATTCATTCATTGTTTCATAGCTTGTAACACTCAAACTTTAACTACTTTACTTCACAAATGTTGAAACTAAATCACAATCTGCAATCACTGTCCTGTCCTGCACAGGCAACAGAGGACTGACATGTGTATATTACATACTATACTGTATGTCTGCTGGGTTGTTTGTATGTTTGTGTATGTACTCACAGGTCTATTTGCTCCTGATTGGCGAGATGGGTTACTAACAGCGTGATGTGCAGAGTTGGGACGGGGATCATGGCTTTGGCCAATAGAGGCTCCTGCTGAAGCACTGCCTCTTGGATCTCAGTCACAGCTGAGCTTATCTGTCATTAGACACATCAACTCTCAATCCACAGCAGTTACAAAGAGGCAGATATTGTCACATATGAAAACTGCAAAAGATTTATTTTCTCGACTATCGCTAACCAATGAGGTGAGAGCAACGTCGGTTTCTAAGTGATGACAGAAATGGATTACATTAGCTTCAAAAAACAATATTCTCTCACTCATATTGAAGAAAAAAAGCAGGAAATTGATGATTTATATAAGGTTTAGGAAATTTAGTCTACATCAGTCTTAATAATAAAATGTGTACACACGAGTACATAAACAATACAGTCAATCCTTACCTGTGTGTTAGTAATGGGGATGGAGACAAAGTAGTTGGGTCGTTGATTGTCTTTCTTTTTTTTCTTCTTGTCTCCATCCTCCTCACTGTCCACTCGCCCTCCACTGTCTCCTCTCTTCCTCTTTTTCTGGGTTGACTCTGGGATGGGGACTACAGATGATGTGCATGAATTCAAAGGTAGTCAATAATACAGGCAGCACAACTTTTGTTATTCAGTAAATCAGACTTACTAGCATTTATCCTTCTAATGGAAGAATCTGTACCTTTTAAATCAGAGATTATTTAAAATTGTATTATATTATGTACATACATCCTAGCTCTTTCCACGTGGTGGGACTGGTCAAAGCAAATGGGAGCTCCGACATTAGATTGTCCACAGTATGGGCAGACTTGAGATTTTTCTTTATCAACTTCTTCTTCTCCCTCCTTATCCTCCTCTTTGCATTCTTCTCATTTGATTCAGTAGCAGCTACCAAGAAAAAATGTAATTACAATAAGACAAACATAAATACTGTATATGTATGAACATGAATACATAAAGACTCAAACACAGTTTGAGTGCAGGTATACTTAATGGGGATGACTCAAGAACAAAGTAAATCTTCTACTGTGCAGCTCAGTGGCCAATCCTTATAATTTTGCTTGGTATGTTCAGCATCATTTGACAACTGTAAACCCATTGTGTTGCATTTTAAGTGAAAGACAAATGTTACAAATTAAGACGCAGTATTGATTGATTGTTTGTTTGTTTGTAGGGTTTTCCAGCTGCTGTACAGTAACAAACCTGCAACTACCATGTGTAGCTGACAAAGCAGATTCAGTAGGAAATCGAAATATAATCACCCTTTAGTCACTCTTGATGCTTGGTGGAGGTATGTGCACTAATGAGTGCCATTCATAGCATAACCAATCAAAGAGCTTAGCTGGTGCTGTGTGGCAACTTTGGAAACCATGATGGGATTTTTTTTATTTTGATAGGGGACCAAGACACATTCATATATTATATATACGTACATTTTTGTTGTTTGCTATTATTAGTTTACGTTTTCTTAAACATGTATAATGTGTTGCTGATCCCTGCTTAAAGAATTTTAAATGCATAAATAATAATTATTGTTGTTATTGTTCTCTTTATTATTAACAGTCACGTCTACTCACCAGACACAGTGGAGGCTCCAGTGTAAGTCTTCCCTTGCTGCACTCCCATGGTGACTGCTTCCTCCCGGCCTCCGGCAGTGATCAGTGCTTCGATCGATCCCTCACCTCCTCTCCCACTCTGCTGCCTCACCACACCTCCCTCACCTTCCTCACCGCCACCATTTGAGCCAATCGCAGGGGCCTCTTTGCCACAGGAGACACTGACTACCGGCTGCATGTCGCACACTGTGAGCGGACACAGGCAGGTGTGTGGCAGCGGGGCCTTGGACACAGATGGAAAGATGTCTCGTTATATTTCCTGTGAGCTCAGGTGAGAACAGATTTATTTTTTCCCCTGACGTTACCTCAGTGATTCGCAGCCGCGGTGCGGATGATCTGAACACACCGACTCGTTGACCGTGTGTGGAGTAAACGTGGTGCAGCCTCCGCGCTGACACCTCGGCGGCGGCGGTGAAAAGCCTCCGTGAATCAACCCTCTTAGAACACGTCCACCTGAGACTCAGCGGGACGCGACCGAGGAGCATGACACGCGTCACAAACTTTGGCTAACGAGCACAACTGACGTTAACAGACATGACAAGCTAACGAATGCCCGTGAACTAGTGTCCTGAACTCTCTTCGGGACAGTTACCGACGGAGACGCTTTCCCTGCCCGTGGCTGACACCTGTTGAGATGAATCAATCTGCCATGCTAGACGAAATGTTACAGGGCTAGCTAACTATAAGCTAACATAGTTCTGCTGCTAATTAGCCAAACTAACCGAAACATGATTCAATAACTAAGTCTAATGTTGTTGATGTATTAAACTCGTAAGTGGCAATATTTCTGAGAGAAAAAGTCCAAACAAACGACTCAAATTCACATTTAGCAGTTAAGCGCTAATTTGGAATCCCAAGCGGAAGCAGCATGTTAGTAAACAATGTCAACTTCCGGTATGGTTTTTCAGCGTAAAAAGGTTTTCTCTTTTCGCAATAAAAGCACATGGCGCTGGAGTTATTGACAGTGTAAGTTAGTATTGTTTTGTACCATCGCTATTATTATAATGCTGTTTTGTTGCATTGTTCTCTGCTGGTGTATTCTGACTCTTTGTAAAGCATCTCGTATTGCAACTTTGCAGTAAAGGTTCCACATAAATAAAGTCTGATTTGATAAAATAAAGGACGCAGGAGTTGTTTAAATTCAGTGAATTAGAAATTCATCATGATTCACTTAAAATCCTTTATTTTAGGGCATTGCTGTAAATTTCTGTCTCATTGTTTTTTGTGTCTAAATTCTCAAATAAAGTTCAATGTATGTTACTGCTACTGGATGCTTGAATTTCCTTTGGGATCAATAAAGTATCTATCT